CTGGTTTCCGTGGTGCTGGACCGCGACGTCGTGCTAGAATCCGTGCTGGTGGAAACTGTTGTGCTGCTCGTCTCTGTAGCGCTTGTTCGCGATGTTGTGCTCGAATCCGTCATCGTGGAACCCGTGCTGCTGCTCGTTTCCGTGGTGGTGGACCCCGTGGTACTGCTTGATTCCGTAGTGCTGGTCCGCGACGTGGTACTCGACTCCGACGTGGTGGACACCGTGATGCTGCTTGTTTCGGTGGTGCTGGTCCGCGACGTGCTGCTAGACTCCGTCGTGGTGGACACCGTGGTGCTGCTCGTTTCCGTGGTGCTAGTCCACGACGTGCTGCTAGACTCCGACGTGGTGGACACCGTAGTAGTGCTCGATTCGGTAGTGCTTGTTCGCGAAGTGGTGCTGGATGCCGTGGTGGTGGACCCCGTTATGCTGCTTGTTTCTGTGGTGCTGGTCCGCGATGACGTGCTCGAATCCGAAGTGCTGGACACCGTGGTACTGCTCGACTCGGTAGTCGTGGACACTGTGGTGCTGGTCGTTTCCGTAGTGCTGGTCCCTGATGTGGTGCTCGACTCCGTAGTAGAAGACCTCGTGGAGCTGCTCGTTTCCGTAGTGCTGGATCTCGACGTAGTGCTCGACTCTGTAGTAGAAGACCTCGTTGTGCTGCTCGTTTCCGTCGTGCTGGTCCGCGACTTCGTGCTAGACTGTGCTGTGGTGGAAGCGGTGGTGCTGCTCGTTTCTGTGCTGCTCGTCCGAGACGTCGTGCTCGATTCCGTTTGTGGGAGCTCTGTTGGTATGCTGGTTCCTTAGTGTGCTCCGCGGACGAAGTGTGTCTCGTCGTACTGGACCGTGGTACTGCTGATCCGTCGTGGTGGATGGTGGTACTGCTTGAGTCGTGTGTGGGCGCGACGTGGTATCGATTGCGTGGTGGAACCGTGGTTTTGGGTTGTTTCGGTGTGGTGTGTGGTCGCGAGGTGGTACTGATCGTCGTGGTGGACACCGTGATGCTGCTGGTTTCGTGGGGTGTTCACGACGTGCTGCTAGATCGACGTGGTTGGAACGAGGTAGTGCTCGATCGTAGGCTTGTTTGCGAATGGTGCTGAATGGTGGTGGTGGACGATGTGCTGTCGTTTCGTGGTGCTGGTCCGCCGCCAGAACCTCGAATCGGGTGCTGGAGAGCGTGGGTTCTGCTGCTCGGTGTCGTGGACTGTTGGTGTGCTGCCTGATGGTTGGTGTGGTCCTGAATGTGGTGTAGATCGTTTAGTCGAAGGACAGTGGAGCTGCTCGTTTCCGTAGTGCTGGATCTCGACGTAGTGCTTGACCCTGTAGTGGAAGATCTCGTTGTGCTGCTCGTTTCCGTAGTGCTGGTCCAGGACGTCGTGCTGGACTCCGTGGTAGTCGACCTCGTAGTGCTGCTCGTTGCCGAAGAGCTGGTCCGCGACGTGGTGCTCGACGCCGTCGTGGTAGAAACCGTGGTGCTGCTCGTTTCCGTGGTGCTTGTCCGCGACGTGGTGCTGGATGCCGTAGTGGTGGATGCCGTTGTGCTGCTGGAATCCGTAGTGCTGGTCCGCGACGTGGTACTCGACTCCGTGCAGGTGGACCCCCCCCCCCCCCCCCGTGTCGAACCCTATAGATCGGGCACGGTGCCTGGCAAAGCTTGGGCCATGCGACCACGGCCAAACACTGCTAATCCGCTTCCCAGCAACACAGCCCGATCCTGCAAAGAGCCATGCTTGGTGCTGGAAGCTCTGCACCACAGACGACCCGGCGCCATGTATGAAGTACTCGCCGAAAGGGGCGTTGACATTGTTGGGCCAGTTCTGCGTCTTCAGCCCGATCCCTACAGGAGAATCGGCATCGCTGCTGTCAGAGGACTGGCAACTCTGGTCAGGAAGGTTCACGCAGTACCCGATGCGGGCCCAATTGTTGTCATTGCACTGGGTGTTGATTCCTGGCCGCTGCATATCGCAATTGCCACCTCCGGTCCCATTCCAGAAGTCGTCGTACCAGGTTGCCGTTCCCGGCGGCAGAAACAGGTCGGTCCAGGCCTTCTTTCCTTCGGCAGCGGTTCCAGAGCCATGACCCATGTTGAGGCTGCGGATGAAACCCGAGCTGAAAAGCGATTGCGCGCTGGTGTACGTCGCACCCATTTCGTACGTGTGCATTTGTCCAACGTTCTTGTAGCACTAACGTGAGGCAGGAGATCGAACTGTGTTGACCGCCGACTCTTGACGTCCTCGTCCGTCAGAGTCGCTGCTGGAAGCACCGCTGGCCTCGTTCAACACCGAACTGCCATCTGTCCAATAACTGGAGTCGTACTGGAAAGTGGTGGAGCCCGCCTTCAGCTTCATTAACAACGTCGCGCCGGTCCGTCGAGTGGCTGCGTCTGGAACGATGGTCGACATCTGCATTAGCTCGACGTCTACTGCAAAGGCCAGGCTGGACACGCCGCTGGCCACGAACAGGCTGGCGAACAGAATGACATGCGCCATCTGCAAATGGAGCAACCAGCTGTCGTAGAAATGAGTGTGCGGAGTGCACGGATGAGGTTAAAATGCTGAAAGCCAGCCTTGAGCCAAAATGGCTATGGAGGCGGCCTCCTGGGCCGTCTTGGGGCCCTCTTGGCCCCCCAGGGCAATCTTGGGGGCCTCTTGGAGTTGTTCTGGGGCGGTCTGGGGGCCGTTTTGGACCCCTCGTGGGCCATCCTGGGCTCGCCTTAGGGCCCTCTTGGGCGCCCATTGGGCCATCTTGGAGCGATCTCGGGGGCTTCTGCGGCCGTGTCGGGCGCTCTGGAGACCGAGAAACCGAGAATGCGACAATTCCGCCGAAACCTACGGAAAACCCTCTTGGGAGTTGTCTTCGTGCCGCCGTTGGGCCATCTGGGGAGCCCGCCGGGCCGTCGAGTGACCGTCGCCGCACTATGCAGCGTGCCGAGTGCGCCCTCTTCGGGGTCTCGGGAAGCCGCTTTCAGGCCGTCTTGGCGGCCTCCTGGGCCGTCTTTTTTTGTTGAATTGATTTGCTTGCATCGGACAGGCACAGAAGTGTCAGCGGCGAGGAGCAATGTCATGCCGAGTCGGGGAGAATCAAGCCGAGATGGCAGAAAGAGGCCGAAGAGCCTACGCAACCACCTGTGGACTGGCAGATACACAGGCTAGCAACTCACCAGTGGGCGCACCGGGAAGGCCAGACCGCGGCTGAGGGGCGAAGGGAAGGCCTGGTGGCCCCCATTGTCCTGCGTCGCTCGCCTGATGAGCGGCCGCATCATAGCGCACGATCACGCCAGGCTTGCCTCCGCGACTGAGACCACATTGGTTTTGTGCGTCTTCTCCGCGGGCAGAGACAGGTGCTTGGCACACGCCTCTGGAGGAACGATCACGTCCCCGTGGTCATCGTCTCCCAGAAGACCTCCGACAGCAAACCCTGCTCGCCCTAAATGCTTCACGTACACATTCAAGTAGCGGAGGCCACCATCCGTATGCCCATGCACGACTTTCAGCTCAACTTTACCCAGAGCAACCCATTCGGGAGTCTTGACCTCATACTGCGACACGCTGTAGTGATACCCACCAGCTTGTTTCGCATCTGCCCACGACCCCGTAATGTTCAACTCCTGGAAGTACATATCCGCGCAATGTCCTCCCAGCCGGCGCGCATCGGCCTGGACGCGAAGCAATGCGTTTTCAGCGCTCATTCCACGAGGAATGTTGATCAAAACGTGGCTGCCCTCCTTCATCAGGTCGAACCGGTCACCATGAATGTTTTGAAGGTGGGGATCACCGATGGCAGCAGCCCCGCCGGGAGTGGGGCCCGATCCTGCAAAGAGCCATGCTTGGTGCTGGAAGCTCTGCACCACAGACGTCCCGGCGCCATGTATGAAGTACTCGCCGAAAGGGGCGTTGACATTGTTGGGCCAGTTCTGCGTCTTCAGCCCGATCCCTACAGGAGAATCGGCATCGCTGCTTGTCAGAGACTGGCAACTCTGGTCAGGAAAGGTTCACGCAGTAACCCGATGCGGGCCCAATTGGTTGTCATTGCCACTGGTGTTTGATTCCTGGCCGTGCATATCGCAATTGCCACCAGTCCGTTCCCATTCCAGAAGTCGTCGTACCAGGTTGCCGTTCCCGGCGGCAGAAACAGGTCGGTCCAGGCTTCTTTCTTCGGCAGCGGTTCCAGAGCCATGACCCTGTTGAGGCTGCGGATGAAACCCAGCTGAAAAGCGATTTGCGCGCTGGTGTACGTCGCAAACCCAGTTCGTACGTGTAGCAATTGTCCACGTCTTGTAGCACAACGTGAGGGCAGAGATCGAACTGTGTTGAACGCCGACATCTTGACCTCGTGTCAGAGTCGCTGCTGGAAGCACCGCTGGCCTCGTTCAACACCGAACTGCCATCTGTCCAATAACTGGAGTCGTACTGGAAAGTGGTGGAGCCCGCCTTCAGCTTCATTAACAACGTCGCGCCGGTCCGCCGAGTGGCTGCGTCTGGAACGATGGTCGACATCTGCATTAGCTCGACGTCTACTGCAAAGGCCAGGCTGGACACGCCGCTGGCCACGAACAGGCTGGCGAACAGAATGACATGCGCCATCTGCAAATGGAGCAACCAGCTGTCGTAGAAATGAGTGTGCGGAGTGCACGGATGAGGTAAAAATGCTGAAAGCCAGCCTTGAGCCAAAATGGCTATGGAGGCGGCCTCCTGGGCCGTCTTGGGGCCCTCTTGGCCCCCCAGGGCAATCTTGGGGGCCTCTTGGAGTTGTTCTGGGGCGGTCTGGGGGCCGTTTTGGACCCCTCGTGGGCCATCCTGGGCTCGCCTTAGGGCCCTCTTGGGCGCCCATTGGGCCATCTTGGAGCGATCTCGGGGGCTTCTGCGGCCGTGTCGGGCGCTCTGGAGACCGAGAAACCGAGAATGCGACAATTCCGCCGAAACCTACGGAAAACCTTCTTGGGAGTTGTCTTCGTGCCGCCGTTGGGCCATCTGGGGAGCCCGCCGGGCCGTCGAGTGACCGTCGCCGCACTATGCAGCGTGCCGAGTGCGCCCTCTTCGGGGTCTCGGGAAGCCGCTTTCAGGCCGTCTTGGCGGCCTCCTGGGCCGTCTTTTTTTGTTGAATTGATTTGCTTGTCATCGGACAGGCACAGAAGTGTCAGCGGCGAGGAGCACATGCCGAGTCGGGGAGAATCAAGCCGAGATGGCAGAAAGAGGCCGAAGAGCCTACGCAACCACCTGTGGACTGGCAGATACACAGGCTAGCAACTCACCAGTGGGCGCACCGGGAAGGCCAGACCGCGGCTGAGGGGCGAAGGGAAGGCCTGGTGGCCCCCATTGTCCTGCGTCGCTCGCCTGATGAGCGGCCGCATCATAGCGCACGATCACGCCAGGCTTGCCTCCGCGACTGAGACCACATTGGTTTTGTGCGTCTTCTCCGCGGGCAGAGACAGGTGCTTGGCACACGCCTCTGGAGGAACGATCACGTCCCCGTGGTCATCGTCTCCCAGAAGACCTCCGACAGCAAACCCTGCTCGCCCTAAATGCTTCACGTACACATTCAAGTAGCGGAGGCCACCATCCGTATGCCCATGCACGACTTTCAGCTCAACTTTACCCAGAGCAACCCATTCGGGAGTCTTGACCTCATACTGCGACACGCTGTAGTGATACCCACCAGCTTGTTTCGCATCTGCCCACGACCCCGTAATGTTCAACTCCTGGAAGTACATATCCGCGCAATGTCCTCCCAGCCGGCGCGCATCGGCCTGGACGCGAAGCAATGCGTTTTCAGCGCTCATTCCACGAGGAATGTTGATCAAAACGTGGCTGCCCTCCTTCATCAGGTCGAACCGGTCACCATGAATGTTTTGAAGGTGGGGATCACCGATGGCAGCAGCCCCGCCGGGAGTGGGCCCGATCCTGCAAAGAGCCATGCTTGGTGCTGGAAGCTCTGCACCACAGACGTCCCGGCGCCATGTATGAAGTACTCGCCGAAAGGGGCGTTGACATTGTTGGGCCAGTTCTGCGTCTTCAGCCCGATCCCTACAGGAGAATCGGCATCGCTGCTGTCAGAGGACTGGCAACTCTGGTCAGGAAGGTTCACGCAGTACCCGATGCGGGCCCAATTGTTGTCATTGCACTGGGTGTTGATTCCTGGCCGCTGCATATCGCAATTGCCACCTCCGTTCCCATTCCAGAAGTCGTCGTACCAGGTTGCCGTTCCCGGCGGCAGAAACAGGTCGGTCCAGGCCTTCTTTCCTTCGGCAGCGGTTCCAGAGCCATGACCCATGTTGAGGCTGCGGATGAAACCCGAGCTGAAAAGCGATTGCGCGCTGGTGTACGTCGCACCCAGTTCGTACGTGTAGCAATTGTCCAACGTCTTGTAGCACAACGTGAGGGCAGAGATCGAAACTGTGTTGAACGCCGACATCTTGACGTCCTCGTCGTCAGAGTCGCTGCTGGAAGCACCGCTGGCCTCGTTCAACACCGAACTGCCATCTGTCCAATAACTGGAGTCGTACTGGAAAGTGGTGGAGCCCGCCTTCAGCTTCATTAACAACGTCGCGCTGGTCCGTCGAGTGGCTGCGTCTGGAACGATGGTCGACATCTGCATTAGCTCGACGTCTACTGCAAAGGCCAGGCTGGACACGCCGCTGGCCACGAACAGGCTGGCGAACAGAATGACATGCGCCATCTGCAAATGGAGCAACCAGCTGTCGTAGAAATGAGTGTGCGGAGTGCACGGATGAGGTAAAAATGCTGAAAGCCAGCCTTGAGCCAAAATGGCTATGGAGGCGGCCTCCTGGGCCGTCTTGGGGCCCTCTTGGCCCCCCAGGGCAATCTTGGGGGCCTCTTGGAGTTGTTCTGGGGCGGTCTGGGGGCCGTTTTGGACCCCTCGTGGGCCATCCTGGGCTCGCCTTAGGGCCCTCTTGGGCGCCCATTGGGCCATCTTGGAGCGATCTCGGGGGCTTCTGCGGCCGTGTCGGGCGCTCTGGAGACCGAGAAACCGAGAATGCGACAATTCCGCCGAAACCTACGGAAAACCCTCTTGGGAGTTGTCTTCGTGCCGCCGTTGGGCCATCTGGGGAGCCCGCCGGGCCGTCGAGTGACCATCTTGGACCCATCTTGGGCCATCTTGGGCCCATCGTGGCCGTCGGGGGGCGCTCGTCGGGCCCTCCTGGGGGCTCCTGGAGCCCTCCGGGGCCGTCTTGGGGACATCTGGGGCCGCCTTGGGCCCTCCTGGGGCGCTCCAGAGTCAGGCTCCCCGGACGGGCCAGGAGTTCTGTCAGCTTTCCATGGGTAAGGGAACCGGTTGAATTCATACAGCTGTCTATAGATGTGTGTGCATATCTATGTGTGTATATATATATATATGCGTGTACATATAGATACACATTCATGTGGCAGACGCAAGTCAGCGGAAACTGATTGCCTACGCGCAAGTTCCCTTACAGCCAAACGCAGCAAGGGGGAACACAACTGGACAGCGCGAGGATGCTGGCCCCAAACAGCCGACACGCTCTTCTCATCGCTTGGGGTCGATGCCGTTCTTCTCGAAGTACCCCTCCTTGCCAAGCTCCTTGTGAGGGGGCACGAAGGGGGGGGCAGCTCCCCGGGGAAACATCGACCTTGAATTGAATCGGCGGTATATCGCCAATAGATCTGGGAAAAGCCCCGAGAGCATATCCGCACGCTGATGGACGGGGTCGGCCATCGAGCCCATATCAGTGTGCGATTGGGGGTCGACGCATTCCCCCACTGAGCCTACCCCTACCCAACGCTCCCCCTGACCTTGCCATAGCGGCACGTCATGTCGTAGGGCTCACCGTAGCAGTCCGACAGCTTCCGCCCGACGTACCACATGCACTGCTGGCAGTCCTCCCAGCACCAGTGGGAGCCGTCCCTCCTCGACGGGCGGCCTTTGCAGAGGTTGTAGCAGTTCTCGGACATGTTGTACTTGGCCATGTTGTAGACGCTACCTATGCAGGTGGCGCACGGTGTGGAGACGTTGTAGAACTCCTGGTAGCACGACACCCACTGCGAGATCCCGAACCACCAGTCGGTCGTAAACGTTTTGTAGCAGGACCCCGTCTTGAAGTCCCCCGCGCGGGCGGCCTGCGGGAGCGTCTTCTTCGCCTGCTTCAGCGCCCAGTAGTTGATGACCGTCATGTCGTCGGCGGAGCACTGCGGCGTGTCGAACAACGGCCAGTTCGCCTTCCCTGGGTAGGTTTCGTTCGACCGAAGTGGAGCGTGCCACGACCCCACTGGCCAGGCCTCGTCGCTCTTGCGGTCGTGCCCGACGAGCTGCTGCTGCGCCGCCTGCTCGCCAGGAGCAGCAGGAGCATCGCTAACCTGCCCGACGAACTCGAAGAACCCCCCGAACTCATACACGAGAGAGTCCACCTTGTCATCCGCACCCGCACCGTCTCCGTCCGAGCGCACGCTCAGCTGGGTGGTCACCGTCAGGAGAGAGACAATCAGCACGCGAAGCAAACTCATCGCGTCGTATCAGCAAGGTGAAGGTGGCCCTGTCGGCGCCACAGGCCGATTACAAGTTCGGTATGCAGCAAAACCTGACAAGGACTGGAACCTTGGGCCAAACCGGCTACGGATTTTTGTGCACAGCGAGGGCACGTGGAAGCAAGAGGGGCCTCCGCCCCGTCGTCCGTATTCTCCTCTACGTCCTCTCCCTCCCTCCTCTGCCCCCTGCGCCTCACACTTCCCTTCCGGAGGGGGGGGGGAGGAGGAGGAGGAGGAGGAGGAGGAGGAGGAGAGGAGGAGGAAGGAGGAGGAGTGAGAAGGAGGAGG